CACCTCCTGCAGGGGAGCAGGGGGCTGTGGACCCAGGTCCCTGGCCTTGTAGCCCTGGCAGCTGGGTGCCCCCTCTAGCAGGGCTGCAGGGGCCTTTCATTTTAATCATGGATTTGGGGGGGGTTTATCAGAGCATTTGTGACTTTTTATCATGGAAAACCAGGATCCCTGGTCATCTTGCACTGCAGATGAAATTACCACAATCTGATAAGCAACATTTTTGAGCATCTCCAAGTTTGAGGCTGTAAATATTTTTAAATAAGTCCCATTTACAATTTGGAAAATAAGAAGATAACACACATACAAGTAATTACACCTTATTTAAGATGCATATTCACAAGGTGCAGAGAAAACTTATCTGTACTTAATGACTGCAAATACAACCGTTTCACTTGATAAAATTTAATGGATAAAAGAAAAATATTTTTAAAAGCATAATAGTGGGGAACACACATTTCTGGTTAGGAACAGGCTATGATCAAAGTTTCAAGAGGCAAAGACTGGGCTGTATATCACACATTCAAAATGGTACAACAATTTTTTTTGATCAGAAGTTCTGTCTTACCTGGGACTTTGTCAACAGATGCAAAAACTGAACGCTGTACAGTAGGGTCATTGCTGCCACGTCGTGACTGGTCATAAAATCTAAATGGTAGGTGCTGGGATGTAGATGAAGAGCTATGTCCAAAACCCATCACCTCATTTGAAGGTTGGACAGGAAGATCCAAAAGAGCTATGTAAAAACAAAACGTTTTTATTAACCAGATCTACATAAAGGAGATGGGAAAATTGCATCAACAGTTTACCCAGAATTCTTGTGCTGAAATTAATTTACAGACCAATCTGCATAACCAGCTTATACTTGCCTCTCCTAAATACAAGTTATTTGTTGTTTCATTATGCTCTGCAATTATAAAGAACAAGCAACAATGGCTCCAAAAATGCACATACATACTAAGAAAGCCTACCTAAGCATATAGTATAGAAGGAAAAATGTATTGCTGCAGTGTCTTTCCACTAAATATGTGATTTTAAACCACTTCAAACATTTTTAGTAACATAGGATCAAAAAGGTCTTATGTTAGTTATAGCACTGCAGCAAGCCAACTTATTTGTAGATATGTCATCTGCTGTAGGCAGGCAAAGATTTTCCATGTGCATTTGATGCTTTAGTGCAATTGTGTGTGCTAGTGTTTAAGATCCTAACTCTGAACTTATTTTAAACTGAAATACAAGAAACACATTTAAAGAAGTGAATTCTACAGGCTATAACTCCTGGGACTAGAAGCATAAGAATATTTCAAATGTACTTAATAAAATAACTACTAGAAAATGAAATATTCCAGGAATTGATTTTAAAAATATAGGCAGAATAAGTACCAGCTGGGCCTGAGTCATTAATTTCAATACTACTTCAATACTTTTTGTTTTTTGTTTGTTTGGGATTTTGTTTTGTTTTTGGGGGGCGGGGGGTTGGATGCTCTGTTTCCTATTAGCAGATACTTGAGATTAAATTGATGAACAGATAGAAATCTGTGTTTCACTTCCACATCTCTTTTGTCACTATACTCCAGTCTTCATCCATCCACACATTTGCTGGATAGTTCCAACACTCATAATATTGGGCTCCATTTTATCCCTTTGCTGTCTTTATTTTCAATTGCAACCTCCTGCCTATTTCAAAGTAGCTCTCCTTCCAACATCCCTTAACACCCACATAAAAGTCCAACTGCTGATATTGTTTTCTATGTAGCTTCTTAAACTGCTTTTGTCACTGTAGCATCTGCACTGCTTCCAGGAAAGCATTCCATGATGCAACTAAGATGTCACATGATTCCTCCAGTCTTCAGGAGAGGGATTAACAATATCTCCTATTACAGTGTAAGATCCATTGCCTAAAAACTGGACATCAACTTTACAATACTGCAGGCCACTGGAATTTGAACTTCAGAGACTTTGTAGAGGCCATCAGACCAGACAGTTATGAGCTTCCATGAGATGCATTGATTCAAAAAAATAAAATTAAAAAGCATGCACCCAATTACCTGCTATTCTCTGCATTTTCATACGCCGAGCTTGGATACGGCCCTTTGCAAGACGCTGCTTTGCAATGATGCAGCGAATATGATCCGAAAAAATAAATGTGGCTTGGAGGATGGGAAAGGGTTTAGAGTGGGGGCTAGATGCAGGTTTGTGAATGATTATATTTAGAGCCCTACTGTCATCTTCTACTCCTGTTACCTGCATATCCTACAAAAAAAAAAAAAGGAAGGTGTAAGCAAAACTCTTGTTCACTTTTAACATTTCAAAATATAGATCAAATAAGAATGTATAATTTATTCTGAATATACAATTAAAACAAAGATCTAGGAGTACTAGTTAAAAACAGAGGCAATGAGAGTTACTATAACTTGGCACATGTTTCTGGGAAGTCAGTCCAACAAGGGCACACAAATTCAAGTAAGTGAATTAGACACTAAAATTCTTATTGCCATTTTTTCTGGAAATGTGGGTACTGTTAGCAGAATAAAAAGGTAAGAAACGTACCTGTTTCTGCTCAGCATCTAATTATAGGTTAACATTTTGCTATAGTTAGCAAGCCAAGAAATTTGAATAAGGTATTGACTTATTTAGACTAAATAAGGACTAGTGTAAAAGAGTTTGAGAAGTAAAGAATCACCTTTTTTCTTGGAAAACATAGTTAAATTGATGGACTCTAAGATTTTTCCTTTCTTCAATACAACATATTTTGGGTAACTTTGTATGAAAAAATCCTAAAACCCCTAGAAATTAATAGCTGGAAAGGGACCTTGAAAGATTGCCTCCAACCCCGCTGCCTTGGGCAGGAATCAAATGATCCCAGCAAGGTGTCTGTCCAGTCTTCTCTTAAATGCTTCCCAAGGAGGTGGAGCTGTCCCCAGCCTTGGAAGTCTATTTATTCTAGATTCTGGACACCCTGACCATAAAGAAGTTTTTCCTTCCATCCAACCTGAAACCTTCCACTAACAGTTTATGGCCATCGCTCCTTGTCCTCCCCTGGGGTGCCCTAGCGAACAGTTTCTCTCCCAGCTCCTGATATTTACCCCTTACTTACTTATAGATGGCCAAGTCCATGCCCCCCCCCCCACACACAAGTCTTCTCTTCCTCAGGCTGAACAGTTCCAGATCCCTTAGTCTTTCCTCATAAAGTTTATCCTCCAGGCCCTAAACCATTCTTGTGGCCCTTCTCTGGGCCCTTTCAAGATTCTCCATGTCTTTTTTTTTTTTTAAAGTGTGGCACCCAGAATGGGACACACTACTCTGGCTGGGGTCTCACCAGCACCGAGTAAAGAGGAAGCATCACTTCCTTAGCCCTGCTCGTGACGCATGGGCTAATGCATCTCAATATGCCATTAGCTTCATTGACTACAGTGTCACACTGACAGCTCATGTTCATCCTGTGATCAGTCATAACCCCAAGGTTTCTTTCAGCCATTGTGCTGGCCAGGACATCACCTCCTAACCTAAGTCACTGGTTACTTTTCACCAAACGAAGCACTCTGCATTTATTCTTATTGAACTGCATCTGGTTCCGCTCCACCCAATTTTAATAGTGAATAAAATATTTCCCATGCAGACATCTATTCTTTATGTTCCCATATTGTATTTGTGCGTGCATTAACTTTTGAAAGCACATTTTAGTTGCCTTTTTTCTTTCTCTGTATATCTAACATGGCAGGTATTGGGACTTTCATATAAATAGGTTCAAGATTTTATAGTATGGATTAATTTGCAATTAATGTCCTGCTGTAGAAAAGTACTTTAGTGAGACCTAAGCACATTCTTGACTTCAGAAAGATATGAGCGTTTAAGAATTCTAGTGAAAAGAGATACCTTCTTGAACCAGACGCTGTACTGGGAAAACTATTTTGTCTGCAAGCTTCCATTTAATACACTTAAGAACTTATGTGAAAGATGGAAAATGCCATAAAGCTAACTAATAGTATAATTATAAATAGACTTTTAAGTATAGAGAAAAATAGGTATGTTTAATCTAAAAATTAAGCTAAGAAGATTAGCAATTTGATTTTGCCATTTTGCATACGAACAGAATTTTCACCTACAAAAAAAAAAAAAAAAAAAAAAAAAA